TATCCCTTTCAAAGGTAAATGATATATAAAATTCTAGTAAAGTGGCGAGTGGGGCACTGACGCACTGTTATTCTCTGCAACGCTTTTATGCTTATCAAGTATTCGAATAAAGCTACATTATTTTTTTACAAAATTTTATTATTTTATTCATTTTTCAACATTTTCAATGTTAATACAGAGTAAATTGGTATTTCATGAAAAAATTATATTAAAATACAAATATTTACATTTTATTTTGCACAACAAACCAAAGGATATTTGGCCATGTTGGCCAACCTGTGAAAAAAAATTCTTATTAGTGTTATAGGGTTATTGTACTGCTATTGAGGAATATTGGCCCGAGCAGTTTGGCGAGTGCAATATGCCAAACTGCGAGGGACAATATTCCTCAATATTAGTGCAATCACACTTTTATTATAAAGTATCAAGTATTGCAGCAACATTGATGATACTTCGTTCGTCCATTTTTTTTGCAACAACGATGCCTATGGTAAATGTCCATTTCCGCCATTTTGTTCATCTTGGTGAAGGTTTGCCAGAAACACGAGTCGTGCTCGGAAAACATATCATATAAATGTGTACGATACATTCAATATATGTATACTGAGAGCTAGAAACATTGCTACAGTAACACATACTTTATACTCCGATGTTCATTTTTGAATGAATTTACACAACTTTGTTTTAATATAATAATAACGAGATGTGGTATGTTTGCCATTTGCGATGAGACAACTATCCAGCAGAGACCAAAGAACGAGAATGTAAACAAATATAGGTAAACATACGGCCTTCAACCATGAGCAAAACCCATATAGCATAGTAAAAAGTACCGACATGAAACAAATCAGAATAGAAAACCAACTGCTTGAATTATGTTAAAAACAATAAACGAAAACAAATATTGCAAACGGCAAACAACGACAACCACTTAATTACAGGTTCATTGGCTTGATTGCAAAACTCAACCTTGAAAATTTAATGAAAAGCATTTGACTTTTCCGTTGTCAATCCCCCTCGGAGATAACAAAGTAAATGTTGGTTTATATTGTATAATGAATATAATATTCATATCTAGTATTGTTTTGGTCAACCTTCCATTTACCTAATTGTGACTTTGAGACAAAGGAAATGTCATTACAACTTTTTTGTCAATTTTGAGGACATTATATCGGTGTTTGGTATAAAATTGTGATATGAGTAGTTGCAGACTTACTTGCGACTGGTTTTCTTTTGACTTTATTGGCAATTGAACAATTTCAATGAATTTAAAGATTTCTGTTCCGTTTTTAGCGTTCAACTTTAAGCACATACACGTATGGCTCATTCGTTTAAAGTTATTTTATAATTAGTAGATGTGAAAGCAAATTTAGTTTCCATTAGAATACATGCAAAAATCGTGTCCCTTTTAATCAGAATTGGTTATCAAAAAGGTTTTTCCCCTCGTATTTTAGGGGTCTCAATAACAGCCAAGTAACTGTTACATGAACAATCCATAGTACATGTTAAAAAAAAAAATTCCAACAATTTTATTTAGAATATGTCCATCTACAAGATCAGCTGATTTTATGATACCCCTTAATGATTAAAGTAAATGACTTAAAATTTACTGCCTCACAACCAAGCACGCACTATTTTGGAGTAGGAGCAAAACAACTAGCGGATTTTGAGTCAGAATGATGTGTCCAAGTAAGAGTGACATACCTACATGTAGTATGATAGATTTCATTTTAGCATGCCGGTCTAGGTCAAAGAATGGTTCATATTCATATCTTACTAGCACGTTATCGTCCTGAAACTTGTTGAAAGATAAATGTTTGATTGTTTAACATCCACTCATCTCAAAACTAACTGCTTCATACCGAGCATGTTTTGTCTTCAAAATAACTAAATTTACTGAAATTTAATTTGCGTATCATTTATAGATGCAAAAAAAGGAAGCTGAATCATTGCGTTGATTTCTAAAACAACCTTATAAATGACATTTATTTCATCTAATTCCGGAAATTTTCAAGCAAATTGAGTACGTATAAAATACAAGAAAATCATAACGGAAACTGTTTTATTAAGTGCTTCTGTTTCAATTAATACTTAATCCTTTTCTGTCAGCGAAGACCAGATATCTTGTAATTATTTCAAGCATATTCCTGATAAAAGGAAACCAATAAGACGTTCTGTAATAGCCTCTTTGAATTATATCAATTCCAACCATCGAGGCGCATTTAGTTCCCATACAAATGACCGTGCTGAACAATTACTGTGAATTGCTTCAGCGGTCTTAGAACTTCATTTGGAGATTGATCTTAGCAAAGACATTACATAAAATTGAAAGTAACATATCAGAACAAATTAAATGAGGGTTTGATGGAATTTCTCTTATCAAATTTGATTCGAATGACCGGTGATGTAGCTGTAATCCAAATGTAATTTCAATAACTTTTTCTTGCTTGAATACGCTAATAAGACGAGCTTGTGAAGCAATGAATGTTAGCTGAATTATTTTAGAAGGGCATGCTATACAAAATTACATGCCAGATTACATCTTAATGGCTAATTCTGACAAAGACATTGTATTAATTTTATTCTACAAATCTTAGCATCAATTTACACCAATTGATTGAATAGGCAATTGGAAACAATACAAAACTGTTTGAATTTTGTGTTCGGTTAATTTACCGTAAACAATAATTCTGTTCACTTTCTTATTTTGTTTTTCTTAACTAGACTATTCGTTGTCATAGATAGATAAACGTTTGTATCAGTCATATATGCATGTTCTATGAGATAAACATACTATTGCACAGTTTGAAATATATATTTTATGTGAAAGTGAAAAAGAAAAAAAAAACAAAAAAAAAAACCCTCAAAGTATTACCCGTCTTCAAAAGGTTGAAATATACCAACTACAAGCAAAATATCATGCTTACAACAATGACAACTACTTACCTTAAAAGAGACTTGGTACAGGCATTTCCTTAGGTAAAAAATGGTGGATTAAACCTGGTTTTACAAATAGCTAAACCTCTCACTTGTATGTTAGTCGCATAGAATTCCATTATATTGACAACAATGTGTGAGCAAAACAGACAGACATAAAAGGTAAAAATGTCAAAAATTGGGGTGCAGCAGTCAACATTGTAGTATAATCTAAATCACTATAACAACATATAACTATTTCAACAACGAAAAACAAAATGGCATATAGACACTCTATAGACAACGTACATAAGCAAAAATGAAAGACAATAATACAAAATAGACCAAAGTACAATAACACAATGGCGGGATGTATAAGTACCGAGCCACGCCAAAAGTATACTGCCAAAAATGAACTAAACAATAAAGGTTAAAAATGTACAAGGACAAATAAAAAGAACATTATAACACGTAATAAAGATGATCTACAACGTCAGTACCTAGAATTTATACATCAAGACCGTCATGTATTATTTTAGACATTGATACGGAATATTTATCAACAAGGTCTTAATATCTTCCAATGAACTTTTTTTTAGAAAACGGACGAGACGTTCTTTGGCTGATCAACTTTCTGCTCAGACACTGGTGACGTTTTATAAAGTCTGAGTAGCAGCTGCAACCTCTTGAATACCGAATGAGTTAAGAAATGTATATTCCAAACGCAAAAGAGCAGTACAATTGTAGTTTCAAGGAAGACTTAAATTGTCATTTAGTTATTCTGCATCAAACTTTTGCACAGGAGTGTACTGGGCATGGTAAAAGATTGTGTTGTTTATGATGTCTGTTTTGTGAAAATTTTTAATGTTTAATGTTGTATCATTATAAACCAACAGTATCTAAAGGTTTTTTTCAAGTTTAAGAGCCTTTAAAGGTTGCGAGAAAAACAAATTAAAATTTTATGATTTTCTGTTTTTGCTTTTTTTGTTTTTGAAATTTTGAAAATAGTTGAAATGTCATTTTTTATGTGTGCTTGTGTTATTCATTATATCGTTATGATAGTCTATGATTTTTACTGAATTAATAGTATCTTCTTTTGTGTACATTTTGTTACTTCATTCACCGAGATTAAAAGAAAAGTAAGTGTACTAATCAATATGTTGACGTATTCATTTAATATGCAAATATTCCCAGCGCTTGATTGATTGATTGATATTTAACGCCACTTTCAACACTATTAGCGGTCAGTTTTCATTGGCAGAGGAAGCCGGAGTGCCCGGAGAGAACCACCGACCTTTGGCAGGAAAACTGACAATCCTAGTCTATTAAGATTGGAGTCGAATGCACAACATCAGTGTGGACAGTCTAATGATAAGTAGGACTACTAAGACAACGCGGTCACTAAGGCTTCTCCCAGTGATTGAGTTAGAAGTCAGATCGGAAGTAAAGATACCTAAAGTAGTCCCAAAATTTACATCTAGATTGTATCAAACCAGCAGTACTTCCCAGGAAGTTAAATTTATTTCGTAGGAAGGAAATAACGATGGGTATCAAGTTATAAATTAAGAGTTATGTTAGGAAAAACTGTGATATTCAAATGGACAGAGGAATGAGAATATAGACTAACAACTATAATGGGATGTAAAGAATTGTGACCTGTTCTGACATGTTTAGTACCTCTTCCTCATATGTAACATACGCAGTTTATTGCACATTTTTGATTTTTTTTCATTGTCTACTTTACATTTTATAAAAAAAGATGTCACATAAAATTGATTTCCATAAATATCGTAATTGAAATATACAAAAAGTAACATTTAAGGACATTAAAACAATGTATAATACCATCTATTAAAGTTCGTTCGATATGAAATCCCAAGACGGACACAAAAAATGGAGAAAATTTAACGAACATTTTGTTAAATTTATTTTTGAAAAAGAAAAGAGGAAATAAATGCAAATGCTTTCTTTAGAATGCAGATGTGTTATTGATCCATAAATTGGCGTATATTTGCATAATGTAAAAAAACATTCAGCTTTTCTTTTTCATAATATTGAAATATTTTAACTCTGATATCGTTTAAAGTCTAAATATTACATTTATGAGAAGAATGTCTAAAGCTAATGGGATATTTATTTTATGTATTTGGAATGAATTTAAGGTACGCATTCGGGAAATGCAATGCAAATTTCAGTTTTTAAAAAAAGTTATTATTTTACATCTATTCTTGCTTTCTCATATTTGCAGCTGGGTGGATAAATGCAGTAAGTAATTTCATTCTAACTCTAGAATTTTAGTTGTCTAAAGTAATTCTCTATATTTTAGCCTGGTATTCATGATGAGTTTATTTAGAATGACATGGAGTCATTGTATATGCGTATTTGCAGTATACATCATTAAGCAATATATTTGTAGAATGGTATGCACATTTTTTCATAATATTGAAATATTTCATATTAAAGTTACATATATTGATTACAGATCTTTATGCGCTTGATTTTTCTGGATATATTGTCAAATTCTTCAAAATGTACGGTCATGTTTGTATGTTGAAGCTTTCGAAAATAGATAGTTTTCCCCATCAATAAAATGTCGGCCTTTCAAATATAAAAATTTGTATACAATTTCAAACTTTCAAATAATGTCGCTACATTCTTTCACGAATGGTAAAACAACTAAACATAATTCAAACGGATTTTTTAGATTAATGTTTTGTATGGTTTAGGAAGTTCTAATACATGCTGACTTTATAGGTATTTCACGTTATATGTGTAACTTTCATTATTATTTTACAGACATGTATCCACAAATTTTGTTAACAAAGCAAATGTTGATAACGATTGTTTTGTCTCGTTGCATTTTCAAATGAATGTACAATGGCAAAAAATACTGAAAATCAGCAAATTAATGTTCATGCAGATTGAAATTCCATAATTGAATATAAAGCATTTGTGTTTATATAATGTCATATGTTATAAGAAGAAAGACATATATTAATAAACATGAATGAAAATAGAAAGAACAACATTGCATCTTTGCAATGTAAATTTTAATATTTTGTCTTTTTGACCAGAAATGAGCGCAAACAAAACATTAAGACTTAAACAATTGAAATTGATCAAAATTTAGAGTCTTGTCTCTAAATTTTAAGACTGTCACCACGAGCTGGTTAAATTCAATATTATTTATGGTTGCGTAGTGAATATGTTCTATCATTGATCAAATCATTGAGTTTTACACATTTATATCTTAGTGGTTTGTCGATTTTCTGATAGATAGTGGAAAAATGCTTTCTGACAATATATTTGTAGATTTAATCACTTATTGTTATTAAATATAAACGTGTTTACTTCTTCCAGTAACATATTATGCCTTTTAAAAATATACTGAATAGAGTTGATAACAAGACTGCTGAATATAATTGATTGAACATTAATTTTCATAAAAAAATACACAAACAAGCAGCCTCCTCTTTGGTTAATAAATGGCAATTGAAAGTATGGTTTTATGTGACTTAAAGTCAAGATGACCAATATTAATTAGAAACAGACATAGTGACACGGCATTTTCCTCCATGTCTTCATCTGTACCCGTGACAGGCTAATTACAACCTCAAAGATCTCCTGCCATGATAATAATGGTGGACAATATTTCACCTGATCGTTGACAAACGACGGGAAATGAAGTCCATCATGACTAATTGTTACATTTCAATTTTATGGTAGTTTACACCTGTTTAAACGAAATTAATCAACTGTTTAAAAATCCCTCTTTATACTTTCCCGCCAATTCATGTAAGATTCTTACTGAATAAGGAAATGCGAGACAAAATATCAATTTAAGCGAATGATAAACGCAATATTTGAATGGTAAAGATGACGCATATATGTTAACAAATTTCGCATGTCATGTTCATATACGTGTATGTGGCTGTCCCCATATTTCGCCTTTCGATTAAAACAATTTTGATTTTAAATAATGCCATTGTGAAATACTGGAAAAATATACTCAGCATATTGTTCTTCAAAGATGGACCTGAGAATGACTTCAAAGATTTCTAACGAAAGCTTATACATAACAGTTTTATTAAAGTACATGCAAATAGTATGAATAAAGTATTATACAATATGGATTTCGCGTTGTACCTTTCTCTTGACTAACTTTCTATATTTTATATATCAATTTAGTGCTTTATACAACTGTTCTAAATATTTCTCTTGAACAAAAAGGTTTGAATATTGGAGAAAAAGAAATGATTAAAACTTTAAACTTTTTTTTTGCACTAACCTGTCAAACTGTCATTCCATGTCAATATTTTCATGAGGAAGACAGTTACGAAAGAAAAATCATGGTTGCCTAATAATAAAGCTGTTTATATTTTCTTTGCCTCTGTTTTTGCATATATTGTTTTCTTAGTTTGATACGAAAATGCGATCATTTCATGAAAATGATCAATTACAAAGTTTATAAAAAAACAAGCAATTTCAAAGTGGTGAAAATAATCGTATCTTCATTTAGAATATATATTAATGACTTTTGGACATATCAGGATATGGTTTAGTGCTAGTCAAAGAAACTTAACAGCAATTTCATAACATATAAAAGGCAATTGCCTCATGAAATTTAGTATTTGCCGAAAAAAGGCCCGTTTTTGCAAAGACTACTGGAGCATCAATTAAAGATAAATCATAAAACAGGTACCCCTCCATATATGCATTTGAAACTATAAACGATTTCAGATAAAATTAACACAAAAAAAATAAATATACATGAAATACATTTGACGTGAACTATTTCATAACAAAAAAAATTCAAGAAAACTTGAAAAAAAAATCATATCCTCTTTCATTTATCACACCCTTGCCTTCCCGCTTTACCGGACAGTTGATACACGTGCAGCGGGAACTGCATCCCCCGGGGGAAATGGGTTTACTTATTTTTTATTTAAGTTCTTGTAGGCCTTCTGTATGACGCATTGATCTTTAATATGCAGTGCTTTTGTAATTTCTGATTAGTACATTTTTATTTAATTTTAAAATCCCATTGATTGATTCCGAATATACTGAATCTGTAAGTATAGTTAATATAAAGTATTAAACCCTTTCATGAAATTAAACTTTATTTAGACTAAGTTTGATAATTTATGAACAGAAATTTAGGTGTGAGTCATCATCATTATTGTTTGGATAATTCATGAAGAGAATTGAAATTTATTGCAAATATTTTAATTATAAGATAATTGCGGATACGGTCTATATTTACCAAATAATTTCATGATGAATGAGATATAACAACGCACATTGGTGTAGAAAACAACTATAAGTCACCATATATGAGAGAAGTAAATTGCTACAACCAATTTGGAAAATAGGAAATATTAATATATTCCACCGCTGATTAATTCAATGCTGGTATCAATTTAGATGTAATTTTCGGATAATTATCAAATTTTGTGATTATTGTAGTTTTGAATATCTTATTTTAGTATACGGTTGTTTGTTTTTTTTTGTTTTTTTTTGTTGTTTAACAAGGCCTTGCCAGTTTGTTTTCGACATGAGTTTGAATATCCCTTTGGTATCTTTCGCCTCTCTTGTGTTTATAGAAGTTGAAAACCTTTTGCAGAGATCACCGACGGTTTGTGGTAGGGTTCTTGTTGCTCAGTCTTTAGTTTTCTATTTTGTGTTTTGTAAATTGTTGTTTGTTTTTTTGTTTTTTTTCTTTTTTTGTCATGGCGTTGTCAGTTTATTATCAACTTATGCGTTTGAATGTCCCTTTATTATCTTTCGCCTCTCGTTCAGAAACGCTTATGTTATGTCGTATTATTATACACGTTATGGAGAATTACGGGCCTACATACCAAAAACTTGTCGTATTATTATACACGATATGGAGAATTACAGGCCTACATACCAAAACTTAAATTGAATAATAGAACAAATAATTTAGTTCTAACGGATACATTTGTTGTATTTTGGCCTGATATGTTGTCTGTTAACAAACTATGTTACTAGCGACTTGGCATCTTCTTAAGTTTCTTAAAAAGGAAAAACGGCAAAAAGTCGCAAAAGTCATAAAACACTAAACATAGAACCCCATCAAGGACGGGGGTTAAACTCAATCAATAGTACGATTCATATTTGTAACAGATGAAATACTAATCTGAGTTGAAGGTTTCTGTATTCTTAGTTAATTAGTTCTTTAGTTCAGGATCTGCTTACCCTTCCAGGCCACCTGAGATCACCCCTGGTTTTTAGTGGGGTTCGTGTTGCTCGGTCTTTTCTATGTTGTATTTTTTGTACAGCTGTTTGTCTTTTGGTCTATTTCTTTTTTTTGCCATAACATTGTCAGTTTATTTTCGACATGCATATGAATGTCCCTTTGGTATTTTTCGCCTCTCTCTTAGTTGTGCTATCAGTGTTCGAAGACTATTAATGGTTTATCCGAGCTCGCCCTCTTGACTGTGTTTATTTAACTTAAAATTTATCTTATTTCTAATCAACTGACCTATATATATTTAATATTATATAGTTTGGACTTTATTTGAATTATCCGTAAAAGTTTTTACGAAATGCATGATAATATAGCTACAAGATTTGTATTCTCATTTCTTCAGTGCATACTATAATAAAAGTTTGCTCTCAAACTCAGACGTAAAATTAAGGAAAATGTTGCATCATCAAAGGTTTTTCTTTTTCATATAAAACTTCACTAACGTTTTTTATTGATTAGTTATTACAGAATTAAACAAAACAAATCCTCGAGATATTCAAGAATATTAATTACTACTCTGTGAGACAAACATTGTAAACATCACCCGGCTTTTGTTTGGGTTTCTCCGAAATTCTCAAGCTCTCTTAGTTTAAACGATGACAAGATGGGAAATAGGTCTGTTTGACGTGTCAGCATTCTTTTTATGACCTCAAAAATTAACGTAAGTTTCAATTTTTCATTAAAAAAAAATTTTAGGACCGGAAAGATAAACCGCAAGCACCGTCAACAAAATTCTTTATCATTATGATTGTTTTAACAAAAACCCGAACTTAAGTTTGTTGAACCCTGTGTTCTATGTTTCCCATGCCTAAATGATGTTGTCAACTTTCATCATATCTCCATTTTTGGCCTATAATTGTATCGTAAATTGCAATGCATTATAAGAAAAACTCGACAAAATCGTTCCCGAATTCATTTTCTCACATGTGTATGCATCAACTTGAATCTCCTCCAGCTTGAAATAATGGACTTAAAATTGGGGACAAAATCACTA